TGGGATGTTGCTATACTAAGCTTTGTACCAAAATAGACCTCATATATGGCACTTAAGTAGAAACAAAAATCAACGGTGGCTAACTAGGACTATTAAATAAATCAAAAATTACAATTTGACACCAATGTGATTTATAATTGCTGAGAAATATTCTTAAGTTATATTTTGTACCAACATGATTATTATTTTTAAATGAAACAATTCTCCCCAAATAAACTGGAAAATAAACTAGAAGTAGATAATTTTGGAACTCTAGTTTTGATATATGAACTTAGAATAAAAATATCAAAGTTATACAAAGGATTGACTTGTGAGAGGTTCTTTTTGGGAAAGTTTGGCACCACATATAAAGGGTAATTTGGATTAATTTATGATGAATTTATTTATGTTTGGTATGGATATAAAATTACGGGATTTTTTTCCTTAAATGATAAGTGTTATTTCTATTTTATTATATTGAGAATGGATAATAATTCTAAGATGACGAGTTTCGAAATAAGTTTTTTTTTTAAGTAAAGATTTTATTTACTATTAAGTGTGATTATTACCAAAATAATTAATTATAGGACAACTTGTTCCCAACTATATTATTTTTCTCCTTCTTAATGTTAAAAATGTGTTTTTTATAAATGTGTCAGAAATTAGAGCAAAAAGATTTATTGTAGTTTAACTTCATACAAGTTCTATAAACCTATCCAATACTAGCGATGAAAAATATTTGTCTACCAGCTATTGAATAGTCTCATTATTATTTTTTACTTTATTTCAAAAATAATATTGTATCTTTTTAATAATATATCAGAAATAATTTGATGTTAATTTTTTTAATTAAATAAAATAAATTATAGTCATACCGATGGTACAATTAATCAGTGTTTTACATCATAATTTTTTATGTTGAGTTTGGTTGGGAGTATGGTATTTAAAATTGGAAAATATGATTGAATATTTATATTCCTCTTTCTCTCTATATATATATATGATCACTAGTGAAACTATCCGTGCTTCACGCGATTATAAAAAATTAATAAATTTACATAATTTTAATTTTACATATAATAAATCTAAAATGGATAATTTCTATTTGAATAAAGTAGTATGTAATATTTATATTTGTTAGTATCAGATATGTAAGACAATATTGATTTTTTTCTTCATGTGCAACATGATATGTTTTTTCATATATTTTTTCAACATATAAAAAAGAGAATTTTTTTCCATCTTTTAAGTGCAAACTATTCATATGTATATATTAGAACAAAAAAATTAATTGTAATGCAATAAATGGAATAATAAGTCATATTTTAAAATAATAATATATTGTAAAAATAATTTTTATATTTTAGTTTCCTCTATCTTTTGTAAAAGTGCTCCTTATACAAAAATTGATTTCGTAAAAAAACTTTTGAAATTCTTTATTGTGTCTTTATTATTACATTTGTTTATTATAATTTTTTAAATATTAATTAAATATTTTTTAAAATTATGAAAGTGAAACACACAAATAATATTTAAAAGGAGAAGTTACTAGTAAAATGAAGAGATATGAATTATTCATAATTTGAATATGTAATATTACTAGGCATTGTTAACTATGAATTGATTTTATTAGTAAAAATAAATAAATGAATGTGAAAATAATGAGGGAAATCAAAAAATGATTGTTGACCGCATAAAAATATAAATATATTTCAAACAAAAAAGAATAGTGATGAAAATAGATTGTTGCACACGCAAAAGAAAAAAAATAACTTCATAGAATTAAAACTTTTTTAGGAAAAATTGCTAAGTTCCTAGTTCAAGTCAAAGTAAAAACAAAATCTAGCAAAAGTAATTTCTAATTATGCTTCAAACAGTTTTTCTTCTACCACCTTTTTTTTTTTGCAAGTAGAACTGCCACCATATTTTGTTAACAAAATTCTTAGCAGCCGAAAAATAAAGAGCATGAGAATTAAGAAGGACAAACATAGTAAAATCATATCCAAATAAAAATTATTTTGACAGCTAAATACAAAAATTAAAAACTTGTTGAATTTAATTTTTTTTTATCCATCAAAATAAGAGATCAGTTTGGGCTTACCCGTTAAATTCTGAAATATGTGTAATTCGATCAGCATCTATTAATCTAACTTAAGATTAACAATGAAGTATAAGTTATGATCTGTATGGATTGAAATGATAAAATAAAGATGTCGAAGTGTCTCATCTACTCAAATATGCAATTATGAATCGAATTTCAAGAGGAGCCAAATGAGTTTGAGAAGTTCAATATCTATGAATCGAAATTTAATAATAATAATAATAATAATAATAAATCATGTTTAAGTATATAAATGAATAAAGAAATTATATTTATGAATTTTTTTACTACTATCCTGATGTAATGAATAGCTATTATGAATAGTTATTACGGATGATATCTGTTTGAAAAGAAATCATATCATTAATTAATGCAATTATCAATACTATTCATTCAAAACAATGAGAAAAATCCTATTATTAATTAATGCATAAATTATTAATAATTAAAAATAATAAAAGTGAGAGAACTAGATTTACTTTAAGGAGAGTGAATATCTCCCATTTTCGGTAAAAAGAAGAAAAAATTAGTATTATATTTATATCATCACAATAATATTGTCTTAATTTTTTTCAAACTCAATTCCACGTGAGTTCATTATTTTCATAAAAATATTTTTTCGTATAACTGTGATTCCAAATTCTATTAATCTCATGTACACAAAAACAAAATTTTATCATTAAATAATTGACAAACAGAAAGAAAAAAAAAAGAATTAAGAAAAAATCATGACATACAAATGTATATCATAGGTGTAAAATGGACTCACGGCCTTGCAGCTCTATTGATTTTTTCAAAACAAACCGCAATATTGACTTCAAAGTATGAGAAGAAAAATTTTTAGCAAACACTAATGTATATTAATTGTTAATGTTAAACAAGTCTAGATATTATTATTTATTAAGTGAGATTTATTTTAAATTTATCATGATTGATATACCTATGAATATCATTGTGGTTGTAGAATTTAACATCTAATAACTGCACAATAGAATTAAAGAGAGTTCAACATGGAAAAAACACAAAAAGAAGGAGAATTTAAAGTTAAGAAACTTTAAAAGAGAAAAATGAAGAATTTAAAAATAAAAACTAGCTGAAAGATAATTATTACGAATTGGTGAATCAATATTTTCAGTAGAAACTTTTCTCAAGTTGTAGTCAAAACCCGCCAATCACTTGGTTTGATTGTAAGAAGATCTTTTAATTGATTTCCCTCAAATATTGAGATGAGTTGCATGCTTCTTTCCTCGTTCAGATATATCATAAATCTTTCAACATGATCTTTTTTGAGAGAGGAAAGATAACACATCGTGTCACACAACTTTATATCAAAATAGACTTTGCGAGTGTCAATTAGGTGGAAGTGAACATCACTACTAGTGGATAATTGAGACTATCAAAATAAATCAATTAAAATGAGCCAATGCAATCAATAAGTATTTTCAAATGGTAAAAAGTGTACTTAGCCCCATCTTAATCTAATCTATTTTATATATGAACAATTTAATAGGCATCCATAACATGTTTAATTGAAAAAGATGAAGACAATGTGACTAAAAAACCACCATATGATCTTTTTCAATATAATATTTATTAAAGTTGAATATTGTCTTGCATTTGGGCACATTTTAGTTATGAATATAATATTTGTTTTAGATTTTTTTTTTTACTTTTTCATTCGTTTTCGATATCCGTATTGGAGTCGAACTAATCTGGAATTGTGTCGTGTAGGACCTCATTCGGGCCACGTAAAGCTCTATTCAGGGGGAAGCCCTCCCAGCCAAGAATTTTTCCTTCATACCCAAAACTCGAACTCGCAACACAACTCATCTGCTGCATCACATTCGTTGGTGGAATATGTTTATATTCATCAAATCATAAACTCATCAACATATTGTATCTCTCTTTTTTTTTTCTCACATGGTGTCAAGCTCTACACGCATGTTTTTAACCTCTAAATTGTTTGGCCAAACATACTTTTAAACGTATCTTTGAAGAATAAAAAAATTATTCTCCTAGTGAACTTAGCGTTGTTATTTATGTACATTTTTAAGTTTCTTTATTTTTCCATTGTACCAAAAGAAAAAAAAAGGACACAATAGAGTGAGTAATAAATTTTATAGAGTGGTGGTTAGATCATTTTTGTTTTATGGATGGAATGTTGACAGGTCAAGAACTCTTGACATGTTTAAAGATGTTAGGGGTGTACATCACCGGGTTGATTCGGATTTTTTAAAAATCAAACCAAACCATTTGTATCGGGTTAAAATATATATAAACCAAATCAAACCACTAATAGTCGGATTTTTTCAATCTCGGATTATGCGATTTTATCGGGTTGATTTTATAAAGACTAAAGAGCATGTGTTCTTTCAATGATTTAAAAAAAACGTTGAACACTAACATGATTTTTCATCCTAGAAAAGCATTCGGTAGTTTCTTTTTGCATTGCAAGCCCATGAGTTCAATAGGCAATTCTCCATTCTATTTGAAACACAAATTCTCAAAAAAATTACTACTATTACTATTTTGGACAAATCATAAAATAATATCAATAATCAAGAGTGATTCATTATACATTAGAGAAATTCATGAAAATAGCATAGTGGCTTAAACAATTTTTGCATAGTCAAAATATTGTCGTCAAAAGTTAATACGAGTTATTTACATTCAAATCTTTAAATTCTACACCATCATTACTTACAACCTAGGAGATCTTCTATACATATTTTCCAAAAATCATAGCCTGCATCTGCAAAGTAGACAATACAAATCTGATTAGCAATGGATTAACTAAGTTGATGTTTAGTCCTTAGTTCTTATTACTATTTAGAGCATACAGTAATTAGGTAATTAACAATCACAAAAGAATGAACTAATACCTTTGTTCCATGTAGTGAAATTAAAGTACATCAACTGGCTAATCAATCCTCAAAGGTGAGTCGGGGTATTCTGAAAGAACTGAAACAAATTGAATACTAAATAAAATTCAAAAGCAGAATCATTTTTAATAACAATTAGAATATATAAAGTTACCTTCTTCAATTTCATCAATTTTCTGGACTTCCTCTAATACATCTTCAAGCTTGCATTCTTTAGAAGGTGATCGTAGCCATTGTTGAGTGCAAATAAGCACTTCTATCATTTTTGGAGATAAAGAACTTCGATAACTATCAAGAATTTGACCACCTGTACTAAAAGCTGACTCCGATGCAACAATAGAAATAGGAATAGAAAGAATATCCCTAGCAATTTTCGCAACAATTGGATATCTACTGGACGAAACTTTCCACCAACTCAAAATATTAAAATCATTGATCTTCACTGTCACGACCCGGGAGCACCCCCAAGTCGTAACAAGGCGTATTCGGCCCCGAAGGGGTCTTATACAAGCCACATAGTCGTTCATTGCATTCAATAATGATAATAGTGCGGAATTAAAAACTTATTTACATCCAAACATTCAAGCTTCATTAAAACAACTTTAAAAACACACAGCGGAAGTCTAAGTCTCACATGGCCATCTTAGACACAATCACAAAACATAAGTAGGGACACGGCCCTTTACAATCAAAAGAAGTCTATTAAGTCTATTACAAGAACCTTATCATAAAATTAGAATAGAAAAGTCTTGTCCTCGACATATGAGGACATACCACAAGTTCTTGGAAGAACTTCAAGTTCCAAGCTTACTATAGAACCCGCTCACTTTCCGGAACCTACACTAGTAGAAAATAGAGAAATATGAAATTAGCACAATTAAGTACTAAGTATGATGACCATGCAAAACATGCTTTAAAAGGGACATTTTGGCTAGAAACCATGCATTATGCCACTTTTTGAAGTATCATGAACAGTTGCATAAAAGACATACAAGACAAGCATAAACATCAAGTAAGTCATAATATCACCTTTAAACAATATCAACATGAAAACCTTTACCTTGGACCTTCACCTCAAGCAACCCTTATGCTATACCTCGTGCAATGTATGGATGGCGTCCCATACCACCATCCATACTAAGGCACCACATTTAGGTCACTTAAAGTAACTTATCATTCCTTTCTTTCACATTTGCACAATATTCATACATAAGAAGTATATCATTAATTAAGACATGACAAGGGAAAATAACTCATAATATAACCCAAGTATAGCATGCATCTCATATTAAGCATTTGAGAGCCAACATTCTTTAATAACCTTATTTAGGCCACAATTGTGTCACATACATTAGGATTTAGAGAAACTCACTATGACCCTCTCCAAGCCTACTCGTGCAATGTATAGGTAGCATCCCATACTACTACCTACACTTTGTAGAGCCTATCAAGAAACCATAATGAAATCTCACATGATGGGAAGTAAGCATTTAACCGACATAGACCATGAGAGCTTGTCATGGAATCCGGTGTCATAAGTCCCCACACCGTAAAGAGGTGGTCTACTTGTCTAAGGAAGACCGGTATATATAGCTTAATGGATCCACTAGCTACCTATGCGGGCACATAGTTTATGGGATAAGATAGACAATCATTGAAACTCATGCCTAACCATTGGGGGAGTTTCCATCTAACCAAATCCACTCGGTGCTTAGCCTACATTCCCATAGAATAGTTCGTTACCTTGACATTATCACATATGAGAGGTGCCATTGGCCTACCAACTCCAAATTACATTTATTAACACGTGAAAGGGTGCTTTAAGCCTACCGTTTCAAGATTCATTTAGGAAAGCTCATTAACTCCTCTTGAAAGGGTGCCATGGGCCTACCGGTTCAAGTCTCATCATTAACCTTCATGGAAAGGTGCCATAGGCCTACCGACTACAAGGTTCATTACTATCATTAATGGAAGGGTGCGATAAGCCTACCGATTCCAAGGTTCATTATTATCATGAGTGGAAGGGTGCTACTAGCCTACCGATCCGAGGATTCAACAACCAATAATATAATCATTTAAACAAGAAAATGATGCACAAGCTCTACCAATTCGAGATATGCAATAAATTGGAGAATCCTTCATATTCTATCATCAACATTCATGAGTGTCAAATAGAGAAAAATCCTTTCAATAATAACACATTTACGTTCATAACATGATCACATTAGCTCCATTAAATGTCCATTCATAAAAATGTCATGTAACACTTATATTTCTCATACTATGCCTTCAAGGCCATGGTCACAATACATTCCATAATTAAACACCTCCACCATAAGTGGATCAAACCAAGCAAGAACAATTTTTTTTATCCATAATATGAGATTAAGCCAACTTACCATCCTCCAAAGCCATAATCAACAACACTCAAGTCCCAACCATTTTTTTTACCACAAGAGAATTCTTCCATAACTTGCCCATAAGGCCACAATCCTCAATTATCCATATACCAACAATTCATCATAAATAGGCATAGAAAACCATATAAATCAACAATACAATCCAATCTAAACACAATTTCATCAACATTAAATCATAGGCATTAAACCCACTTCATTTGCAAATTCTAGGCTTTTAATGAAAACATGGGTTCTTGAAGAAGTTTCATATTAAAATCATCTTAAAATCATAAATAGAACTTCAATTCACCAATATAATGACTTTGAAAACATTTTACCCATGAACCCATACCTAGAATAGAAAATAGAAGTTTTGTTCTTTGAAGACTTTTGAAACCCTTTTGAATGGACTCCTTGAAGGAAAGATAATCAAGGATCAAGGGTCACCATACCTTTGTTAAGATTTCCCAAGAAAATTGATGTAGAAACCACCTTCAATCCAAGCCCTAGCTCCAAGTTCTTGACCTTCTTAAAATGGAGGATTGTAGAGAGAAAAGTATTTGAGAGGAGGTGAGTTCTTTTTAATTCTAATTGGAGTGACTTAAAATGGAAGAATTTGGTCTAGAAGGGTTTTATAATTGCTAGGAAAGGCATATAATAAAAGGGCCTCAACTTAGGAAAAGAAATAAGGACCCACTTAAAAGTTTCCACTAAACCCGTCTAAGCTCGTCCTTGCTGACAGTGCTTCACTATTTTGGGCATAACTTTTTACTCCGAGATCGGAAAAGGGCAAACTCGGTAGCGTTGGAAAAAGGACTCAGATACCTTTAATTGGATAGGTAATGTTCCACCTAATTCATTTTGAGCTAAAAGATATGACTATTTAAAGTTGACCCTCACTCCTAACTTGAAACTAAAAACTGTTTTTAGGGGACTGTTTTGAGGGTCTCGGTTCTAAATGATTTCATGACCTAGCTTAAGGTCTTGCTAGCTTATAAAGGTGATTAATCAACTAGCTAATCAACCCCTTAAGCCCTTAAACAACACTCCAAACTTCAACGACAAGACCCCTACAACTTACTAGTTCAAACGACTAGTTTCCGGACGTCACTGTCATTTCTCATCATTTCATCAAGTTCTCAACTCCAAACTCACATGTGAGGCTCTAGTTTCACTAGTTCATTTTTTTTTTTGGGTCGTTACATTCACTACATCATCTTTCAAGTATATTTCCAGATCATATTTTTTTACAACAAATCCCTCTTTATTCATGTGTTTCTCCCACTGAGATTGCAACAAATCACTAGATTCACCCATCACACAATTATCATTTTCAATATTTTCGTGAGGATCTTCAGAGCAAGAACAATTGTAGTGATTATATAAGAGATTCAAAACATCTCTCACATCTTGAGACTTTAATCTTCCCATCAAAGAGCCATATGCAATAGAAAGAATATACCCTACATATTGCATCTTGTATCTAGGATCCAACACAACAGCAACCACTAGTAACATATTCATACTCTCAAACTTACCCCAATATTTATCCATCTTGGATTTCATTCGTGTTGCCATATCAACCAATGAGATCATCATGTTTAGTATACTTGATAATATCATTTCGGAGATTGAAAAAATCATGAAAGAAAGAGTGAGAAGTAGAATATAAGCTGCCTAAAAATTTTAAAGTTACCTGATAGAAAATATTAAGAACCTTCACAAAAGCTTTCACATTCTTCCAATCATCTGTTGATGGATTTTTTGTTGTTGTACTTATTTCTCGACATTGCTTTTGATAATTCTGGTCATCCACATACATTCTTGTAAAAGTTTTTTCAAATTTCAAAGCTTTATCCAACATTGTGTATGTCGAGTTCCATCTAGTCTCAATATCCAGACTTACAAGACCACGAGTGTCAATCTTAACTTTCTCAACAACGGACTTAAAAGTAGCAAATCTTGAAGAAGAAGACCTGACATATTTTATAGCACTTCTTATATGAGAAACAGGCTCAATTTGTTCATCCAGCCCCTCTTTTACAATCAAGTTTAAAATATGAGCATTACATCTAACATGTAAAAATTGATTTTCAAACATTACCCCTTTCCAATCTTCAATACGCCTCTTTAAACTCTTAATGGCAGCATCATTTGCGGTTGCATTATCCAAGGTCACTGTAAACAAGTTCTCAATGCCCCAACCTAATAATCAATCCTCAATCCCCTTGGCAATAGTCTCACCTTTGTGATCTGGTGTTTGAAAAAAATTAAGAATTCTCTTTTGTAGATTCCATTGATCATCAATCTAATGTGCAGTGACAACCATATAAGTATAATTTTGCATTGACGTCCATGTATCACTGGTAAGACAAACACGTTGGTTTTTTATAAGCTCCTTAAGCTTTTCTTTCTCTTCTTGATAAATCCTTAGACAATGTCGAGCAACAGTTACACGAGAAGGTACATCAAAATTTGGAAAGGATTTAGCCATTAATTTTTTGAATCCTTCTCCCTCAATAGCTCTAAATGGTTGTTCATCAATAATTATAAATTCGGTAATTGCTCTCTTAATTTCATCCATATTAAACACTCTTTTTTCAATGGAACCACCTTCTGGCCAACCTCTTTTGATAGGTTTTAATGTTGTTTGCCACTTATCGGACTTAAATGGAGACTTGAGACATTTCACAGTTAAATGATTCCATAACGTAGTTGTCCCATTGACACTGTCGGCAGCAAATGTTTTAGTACAATAATTACATTTTGCCCTACATTTACCTCCTTTAGCAATAAACTTGGAGAAATGATCCCAAATTTGAGATGTTTCTCTACCTGTAGTTCTAGAGTTAGGAGCGACCGGAGGAGCTGCTCTTTTTTGCTTCTTAGGAGGTATGCGTCGACGTGGAGTTACTTTGCCTTGTTGTTGAGATATTGTCGACATAGTTGAAGGAATATTATTAATCACCTCTACATCTGTTACAGAAGGTGTAGTTTCCATCCAAAAAGAAATTTGTTGCACATACATAACAATAGTTATTATTATTCTGATACAAGATTGTGTTTCAACAAGACTTCCATTCAAGTATTGTGCACAAGACTTAGAAGTACATGTCACTTTGAAACCAAAACAGATACAAATATAGTACAAAATATTTGGTTAGAAAAGTTTGATGTATATTACTAGCTATTGCTATCAAAATCTAATAGTCTCTTAAATTTTTATCTCTATCACTTGTTTTTCCTTATCTCTGCGGACCATCACGATGTTTACAGTACAAAAACCTCTATACAAATGGAACCAAAAGCAATGATTTGAACACTTGCCCCTTTTTCATTGCATTGAAACAACATAAGTAAAGAGAGAAATAAGTGAAACTTATATACAAAAAATTTATCATCATCTTGTTGCTAAGCTTAACACACCATAGATATGGACACCAAGATGTATAATTTTTAAGTTTATATCTATGATTCAACTACCCAAAATTGTGATGTTGTTGACAATGACAATACAAGAAAAATATCTAAAAACGAGTTAGTAGCAATTACTTACCCAGATTAAGATGAGTTGATGATTATTTGAACTAGAATCGAAAAGGCGAGCTCAATATATGCCCTAATAGCTAAGAAGTAAAACCTAACAGTGACTAAGCCTTTGAAGGTGAAGAGTTGCTTTTGAGCTGCTGACCTAATGACCTTTGTTAAATGAGATAGAGAATATTATAGGAAAAATTATAGAAATCCCACCTTTTAGTTTACTTATTACCATTATCCCCTATAAGTTTTACAAATCTCTAAAATCCCTCATTTTCGTGCATCAGATTAGTGTATCAGCGCATATATTATTGTATCTCGCGCATCAGATTAATATATCAGCGCTTATATTATTGTATCTCACACATCAGATTAATGTATCAGAGCTATATAAGTGTTAATACATGCGCAAGATATAATAATATAAGCGCTGATACATTAATCTGATGCGCGAGATATAATAATATAAGTGTTATACACTAATCTGATGCGCGAAAATATAAGCGTTGATACACTAATCTGTAATTATAAACTTTTAAGGGATAAATTGTAATTTTGTCTTAAAAGTATGTGATTTCTGTAATTTGCCCAATATTATATAGGGCTAGTTGAATTGTATAATTTATTTGGGCTTTTGTTTGTTCCTAAAAATAATAAGTGGGCTCAAGTCAACAATGTAGCCCAAAGTACACTAATATTAAACATAAAATTGTGAGAAAGATTAAGAAAAATATATAAATTATATATTAATAAACATTTTTATGTATAAAATAAAATTTTAAAATTACATATATAATGTCGGGTTGGTTTTTTTTAGTTAAAACCAAACCAACCCAAATATAGTCGAGTTTTTTTTTCAATACCAAACCAAACCACTAGTCAGGTTTTTTTTTCGGTTTGACTCGGTTCACGGTTTGGTTCGATTTGCGGTTCGGTTTTGTACACCCCTAAAAGATGTATGTTGTGAAGATGCAGATGTTGAGATGGATGTGTAGGCATACTAAGAGCGATAAGATTAGGAATAAGGTCATCCGGAAGAAGGTGGAGTGACATCTGCGGTGGATAAGATAAGAAAAACGAGATTGAAATGATTTGGACATGTGCAAAGGAGTTGTGTTGATGCGCCACTGAGAAGGTACAAAGGCGGTATGTGGAGGGGTAGAAATAGACCGAAAAATATTGGGGGAGAGTTGATTAGATATGACATGACATGACACGACTTCATATTATTGTGGACATAACTCTAAATAGAATGGAGAGGAAGTGTGTATTAGGATAGAAGGAAAAACTTTTTAAATTATAACATTTCATATGACATGTTTAAGATTACAAGATTAAAGTACATTTTAATTTTGGGTTAGTTTCAAATAAACTATTTAGTTTGCAACAGATATAACCATGTTTTATTTATATAAAAAGTAGTCAAAAGTCATAGAAAGTATATACTGGCTATACATTATAGGTTTTCAAAAGTCATAAAAAATATAAACTGACTATACAATATCGCATACCTATACATGAGAAATACATTGACTATACATTAGGATACACTAAAAAATCGAGTATAGTTTAACTATACATAAAGTATACATTGATTATTCAATCACAATCAACTTGAAATCACCTCTAAGCCGCCCCAAATTTTAGATATGAAATTCTAATAATGTTTCGAGTCTTTCATATATAATTCGCTAGAAAGGATTCACATTTGCGGTAAGTCAATTTTTTTTCTTAAAAAAAAAAAGATAAGCAATGAAGGAGGAGGATAAGCAACAAAGAGGAAGAAGGATAAGCTACGCATAAGCACAAGAAGAGGACTTTGTCAACTTGTACTTGGTTTTGTTTGTATGTTGAACCCTTATACTTACAACTTTGTCAACTGGACCCTTGAACTCGATGAAACACAATATATTAAACATCTCTGACCATTGACTGAACACATGTGACATTAATATTGCTGACTTGGAACAATGCGTAATTCCACGCGTCTAAAGCGTATAAAATTTCTATGGAAAACACCCAAAAAAAAAGAGGGTAGGGAGTCATCTTCTTCAAAGCAGCCTATAGTTGCTCCCCCACCCCCACCCTACCCCAACCAAATTTCTTACACATTCCACTTCTTTCCTTCTTTCTTTGGTTTCACCCACCATTTCCCTTCTTCTTCCTCTTCTTTTTAACACCCCCACACACTGTCCCACCCGTAAATATTTTTCTCAAAATTCATTCTTTTTGCTGCAAATCAATTTCCCTCCTAGTTCTTTTTGTTTTACCATATTTGTTCTTTCAAAATCTCGATTTCGTGCGTATTCTTTGATGATAGTGGGTATTGAAAAATGAAAAACTTCATTGATAAACTTGATGAAGCTTCAAGAATAACAAATGAGTTTTGTGAATTTATGAAATAAATTTAAAATTGTATAGAGATTTGTTGGGTTTGTGTTTGTGAACCAATAGTGTAAAATTCAAGTCAAATAGCTAAGAATTCCACCAATTTAACATGAATTTGTGCTCAATTTGAGAGCAAAAATGGAGAAAATAATAAAATTTCCAGGGTATGCTTTTTATTTTTATTTTATTTGTCTAATATTTAATTTCTTATGTGTCATTAAAAATGATGTGGAATCCTACTTGTAAATAAGTGTATCACACGCGCACACATATGATGAGGAAAGGGTTTAAAATATTGTGTTTCAGTGAGTTTAACGGTTTAGTTGACAAAATTATAAGTATAAGGGTCCAACTTAAAAACAGAGTCAAGTATAAGTGTCTACTAGCTAGGTCATTCCACCTTCTTCTTCTTTTTTTTTGTTTTATCTATTTGTTAGTTTGATTTATAAATTATTTATAAAGATATTGGCCAACAATATGAGTATTGTACCTTACTTGAGTTGAAAATTTGGTTAAGTCATTCTTCGTGTCATTTCCCATTCCCACAAAATATTGTATATTATTAATATTTACTCTATTTCAATTTATGTGAGGTATAAATAATGTATTCATATATATAAAGAGATAACTACTAGGCCGTGCGCGCACGGGCCTTATTCGTCTAGTTATAACTAAAAATGCCGAATGACCATTTTATGTAACCAGTAATTTTTTTATTAAGTGGGCTATTTTGTGGGTAAGAAATTTAAGGGCAAACTACATAAATCCCACTAGTTTAGGTCCTAATTACTAAGATTCCCGATAGTTTCAAATATTACTTCCTCTACCATATTTCATGCTTAGGATACATGAGTTTGAATCCGCGAGATACATGTATCTCTCAAATGGACAATTAATTTTGGAAATTTAAATTAATCAAATCCCTTAATATAAGGTGGAAATCAAGGAGTGTATCTATGTTTAATAGTTTCGTTTTATTATCTTTGAAACAATAAATTCATTAATATTATTTATAAAAGACAAAAATATGTATATCTTGGTCATGTAATTTGATTAATTTCATTTTATTACTAAATAATAAATTCATTAATTTGATGTATATATTATCAATATATGTTGTATCCAACAATCTAAACACTTAGATACATGAGTATCATACAAACACATTCATATGTATCATAGAAGTATCTAGTATTAATTTCGTGTATTTGTTATATGTATCTAGTATTAATTTCATGTATCTATTTATATGATCTAATATTAATTTCATGTATCTATTTATATGATCTAATTTTAATTTCATGTATCATTTATATGTATCTAGTATTAATTTGATGTATCAAGTATCAATTTCATATATTGTATTCAAAACATATATCTTGGATACATAGTAAGCATATACATATAATTATGTGTATTGAAATATGAAATGTAACTGAACACGAATTTAGAAACAAATCACAACGGTAGACCAGTCTTATCATTAATCCAAAATATATATATATATTTAGCATCTGGATAATCCTAAGTCAGATACACAAACTCTTAACTAGATACATATTGTACATCTGATGTGTATCCAACATTGTTGCACTTATTGTGTACTTAATAGTGTATTTGTTCGATTAATTAAAATTTGGTGTAATTCTTCCATCTTGATTTGGATGAGTACAAGAACTTGTATTGAATGACATATCTTAGCTTTCGATAATTTACAACTTCATTCCCGGAATTATTCGTGTTTTGTGTGTAATATAGGGTCTTGTAGTTATAATACATAAATAATAATTATATTGATCATCCAGTGTCCTCTTTCTAATACCAATTTCTCCAATGACTTCTGAAGCCTTTAATGTGTAGTATCTTTAACAAGAATTATCTGATTTAAGGAATGATCAGCCATTAAAGTGTTTGATAAATAACAAAATAAAAAAAGGGAAAAGGGTCTGATATACCCCTCAACTTTGTTATTTGGAGTTGATATGCCGTTCGTTATGAAAGTGGCTCATATATACCCTT